AATCGATCAACTTGTTATTTAAGTATATTACCCTCATATCTTCTTATATGGTGATAGATTCAGAAAGGTTCATATAATGTTTGAAGGAGAATTAAATATCTTGAGAGTAGTGTTTAGGATATTGATTATAAGAGGATCAGATTAGAAGATTAATCATCAAATAATAAGTTTTGATAAATAAACATATTTATCAATTCAAATATTTTGTGAAGTCTGATTATGTGAGTAGAATTTAGGATGTTTTTGAAATTTCAAAAGATTTTCATTTTTTCACTGATCAATTTGATTAATTTTTTAGAGAGGGTTTCAAATCTCAATTCTTGAAGGAGTTGATAGAATTCTAGGTCATCATTTTGTCAGTATAGTCTAGTTAAGAATAAGAAAAAAAATGGTTTTCAGATGTAAAAAGAAAACTTATACTTCGTTAATGCAATATCAGAATCATGAGAATTGTTGATAAATAAATTTATAGATAGTCTAAAACTAAAATCAATGCAGTGATTAAAAATAAAATTAGTTTATCTAACTGTTGAGAATATTTACAATAGGTAAATTTTTTTAATTTTTTAAAGTTATTAATATATTTAAAATTGGTTAATAATATTATTTGCATTTTTATAACAATTTGTGGCTAGTCAAGCATTACCTTTTAGTCATGAAAATTATTTAAAACAAAAATATTATATGCAAAAATATTTGCATAAATGGAAAGCAATTGAAGTTGAGAAAGATTGTGATTTATTATAAATAGTTTTTAATTTCTTATTTATGTTTCTAATTAATTTTAATATTTTAAACATATTCTTGAATGAAAATAATGCTGAATTTATCAACAAATAATTCAAATTTGAATGCAGATTTATTGATTAGTAGCAATTTATTCAAAGCTGTATAGGCAGTTTATAAAAAAAACAAACAATTGATAATACGCAGTTACAAGTTGTATTAATCTTTCTAGAATTATTTTATGTAAATTTTCAAATGTAAGACTTTTATTCTTTTTTTTTTAAACATTATACATTAAATTTTTTTTATTTACTTTCTTAGAAAGTTGAATTTACTTTGATACCTCTATAAGTAAATCCTATAGGTAATACTTTTGATCTTAATAAAAATTAACTGTACTTAAACTTGTATCACCTCATCTTCAAATTAGTTATGAATTTTTTCTTAATTGTGATTTGTTAAGGTATTTATCATTAATATGATATAATTTTCTTAATATTGATAATAAATTTACTAATATTATTATTTCAGATTAAGATTAGTATCAAAAATAGTATAATCATTAGTATAGGTAAAGCTAGTAACTCTGATGTGATAGAAGGTATTACTTCTGATCTTATTATTAGTCCTATAGAAACCCTTATTGGTAAAGGTCATATCTTTACAGCTGGTGCAATTGATGCTTACATTTATTTTATTTTTCACAATTTATTTTAATATTTGATTTTTTAAAAAAACTTATTTTATTCTTTTTATATTTTATTTACTCTTTAATTTTAATTCATTACATTTCTTACGCTATCTCATCAAGTATTATGATTTTAGTTAAAAGAGATATTGGTCTAAACACTAGTACAAACACTTGTATAAATGTCACAACTTACATGCTAAGAAAATCACATATTGAGATAATGCTTATCACTACTTGATGCCTTTTTAAATAGTTAACTAAAAAAGCTATTTACCTATCTCAATGTAAACTTCTAAGATACTGATATCCTTATAAATCAAAAAAAAATTTATTTTTACGTTAAAATGTTTCTTAACATAGCCACATTTTAAAAATCCTAATTATTTATCTCTATCAGTAATTTTTAGTTGTTATCCCTATAAATTAAGAAAAAAATGTTTTAGGTCTTAATTTAGATCTTAATTTTTTTTAAAAATATATAATAATTATCTTTAATATTCAGTTTTGGTTTATCTAAATTTCTAAGCTGACATCATTATGATAGAAAAAAGCTAATTCACCAGTTACCAGTATATTAGCATCCCTATAATAGAAAAAAATGTGTTCTATTAATAAATAAATATGAATTATTTTTAGTGTAATGCTATTTTAGTACTGCAAATTATCGATCTGTTTATATGTGATTAAAACTTTCAAACTCAATTATCTCAAAATTACATTTATCAGAGTTTCTGACTTTTTTACTACAAAACGCCTATATATATAGTATATAAAATATTAAAATATAAATATAAATTCTTTATAATTATGAGATAATCCTAAAATAAGATATTAAATATGTTATAATATTCTCAGATAAGTTTACTCTTCTTTTCATAAGAATTTTTGATCTTTAATAACTTTAAGTTCTAAATAAAAAAAAATGTTATATATAATATATTATTTGTATTATTACTATTTTTATTATTTTATTTATATTATATTTGACAACTAAAGAAAAAATTTTTTCTGTTATTGCATATTAAAAAAATTGGTTTTATTTTTTATTAATATTTTAAGTTATAATAATTAAAATTTTTTCTTGAAATTTTTTCAAAAATTATAATACTTCTAAAATAATTTTATAAATTAAAAATAATTGATAATATATTAAAATAATTTTATATTAAAGTATTTATTAAATTTTTTCTCTTTACTCTATATAAAAGTGTCAATGACTTTTTTTAAGACTATTTGATACATGATAGACAGTTTGAGTTATTAAATGAAAAGTTGATTATATAGAAGTAGAAATAAAAGCAGAAATAGGAGCAAATATTGATAAAAAAGAAATAGAAATAGAAGTTGATAAAGATATTTTATAAAATAAAAATAAATATTACTAGGTAACGGTAACCGTTGAAGTGTCTGAAGCGTAATTCAATTTATAAAATTTATAGTAAAATAAAATCTTTAAATATATTACAATTATGTGATACAATAA